GGGAAAGATTTTCTGGTGGTGCTCCTCTCCCTGTAGGGAAGTGTGAGGCGGGGGAAGTGTTGTGTGTCCAGCAACCAATCAGGCCTGGGCTGCCATTGGGCTTGGTTTAGCAGCATTAGGCATCTGGCCATGAGGATGCAGGCTCCTTGCCTGAGCCACTGCAAAGTTCCGCTCATCTCGGCCACCCAAACACTGAATGTCAGTTCAGTTCGTTATTGGTTCAAGCTACACAGCTTAGAATTGATTCAATCTTCACAGGTTTTTCCTGTCTCAGACTTTTTGAACTTCTGTACTTAGCCATGAAGTTGTTTAAAATCCTTAACTTCCATCACCTGAAAGAGTTAAGAACCCTCAGCCCAATTGGATAGGAAACTGCTTTCTTATCTTGAGAAAACTGTTCTTGATCAGTATGATCCTTTCAAAGTTTACCAAGCTAAACCAGAGACCAAATCACATCACTCCAAAGTAACCAGTAGCCAAATGATTAAGTCAGTCACCTATAATATGGAATCCATGGTTTAAATCTCTACTCTGTCCCATTTAGGCCAGAGACTTTAGTTTCTCACATGCTGCAGTTGCAATTGCCAACACCTTCTGGCCAATAAGGCATGAATTTATTTCCATCTTTCCTGGTGGAGCTACTCTACTTTGTGACTAGTTCAATAGTCATTGGAGCAGGAACTCAAACCTGGGTTTCCTGCATTCAAGATGAGAGTCTTAGAATCAGCTCAATAGCCCAATGGTTTTGAAGCCCAAAGGACAATATGGCCACATCAAGATGAAAAGGGGAGTCTGGTTTGTGGTGCCACTAACTGCATGCATGGAATATTAAAACATGCCTCATGTTGCAAATTTACAGCACAGGGGCAAAGTATGCTACCGGAATTTCTTGGTCTTTTTTTTTTCCCCCCCTACCAGGAAAAAAATGGCATAGAGCACACTACAATAGCATGCGCCAGAATAAATGGGTGCTTGAGATGCTCCAGCAAATCATTATGCTCCTTTTGCATCCTGGCTGCTCCCAGCCAGGAGAAACTGGTCAAGGGCAGTTTGCCCACAGCAGAACAATTTGTCCAAAGCAGATGTGTTGAGGGGCATGCATGGAGGCTACAAATAGTAGCGGCAAAGTAGTTCAGTAGTTTGTGCCGCTACTATTTTTGCCACTGCAAGCACACACCCCTGCTTGTCTGGACATGGTTATAGAGACCAACTCTTTGTCTACCGAATAGGAGCAGAAAGGCAACGTAGGGAAGTGCGCTTAGATTTTTCTGTGTACCAGATGATCACCTGAACACTGGCAATTGGCTAGTCTGATATCAGGACTTCTCCTGTCTTGATAAGAAATTCAGTCATAGAACTGAGAAACCTTTTGTGATGAGAAGTTCTCTGAAAACTGCATAAAATCCCCCAAAAAAGGTTTTGGTTTCATGTCATCAAGAAAGTCATCACGAAACCCCCAACTAGTTCTACTTAGTACCATGGAGGACAGTACCCCAAGAGACAAAGGTTTCTCTTTGAATAAAAGGATACTAGGATAACAAAAAAAAACGACCCTCTCCTTAAGCCAGTCCTAAATATTTTGTGGGCTATACCTGCCAGCTCTAGCTACTTCAAGTGATAGCTGCTTCTGCATTTTTATTTTAGATTTCTTTTCCTTTCTTTGAATTGCTTCAGGCAAGGACCTAAGGATATAACCTATATTAAAGATTTAAAATTCTTCTGCATTCTGCTCTACTCTTGTCAGTATCAACATTACTAATTTTGCTTTTTGCGACACAGGATAGATTTTTTTTTTTTGTTTTGTTTTGTTTTTTTTTTTTTTTTTTAAGTGGCAGCACTGAAATATCATATATTGCATATTCAGTGCACTCACGGTTCAACTTAGCAAAGCATTGAAGCATATGTTTAAAGTCAAGTGTATGATCAAGTGTTTTTTATATCAGAATGGCTTGCCGAATCAGATAGTTACATTGAAGCTAAATCCTCCTTTACCTGGAATCAGTGGGAATTTTGCCAATGACTTCAATGGGAGCAAGAGCAATACATCTCCAGCTGAATCAGGGAAGAAAAATCAATTCTGTTCCAAACCAAATCCATACGAAAGACCCTTTTATATTTTATACAGCCCTCTTTAGGGAAGCTGCAACAAGCTGCTTAGAGTTTCAAACTCCGATGAACAAGTCCCTCTAGGCTCACTAAGAAAAGCTCACATACTCACTACTGCTCAATCGTTATGCTCAGGATAAAAAAAAAAAAAAAAAGCAAGCCAGAAAGCTGCCAATAGTTATCTATTTATATTTGGAAAGCCAATCATTTTATCTGAATGCAAGAGAATTCAGGGGAAAGACTTTGCAAGCTCAGAAAGAAAACGCTTGATTTATTAAACATATTGAAGTATTTAATATCTCTCCCCACCCATTCATATCTCTCCTTTTGACTTACTTTAATTAAGCTCTCACTGGGCTCACAAATTGGAAGAGGAGGAACTTTTTACTTCTTTTTGTTTAAGCAAAAGAAATGGCTCTCCCGGCAGGTTTCTCCAAATGCTCACAGTTTTGCTCAAATAAAAGACCTTTGAAACAGAGTAGTGTAGGATGATTCACTACAGATTTGAAATTTTTCTAACATCATCTCTGTGGGTACTCCAATTTAGAGGTTTTCTCAAGCAAAATCTCACTTGCTATTTTCATCCAACTATGGATTTCAGGATAAGGGGAGCACACTCAGAACCTGATACTCATCATCAAGGATTCATTCCCAGCCTCACTTTGTTGTTAAGGGAGACAGCCATAACTCCAGTTTAATATCTAACTAACTATCTATTTAAATTCAATGGCAAGATGGCTTTACTCTAACTTGATGGACCACTTCACCATTTAATTTCTAAATTTATTTTTCAAAGTTAAAAGCACTTGTAGTGATACTGGATGAAAGCTAAACAGGAATTACCTCTTCAAATTAAGTCCAAACTAAAACAAGAGACACCAATAAGTAGCATAAAGCCTAAAGCAAGTGAATACTCAGGTGCTATAACAATATAGTGCCTCTTGTTATGCTGAAGCATCAAGAAAACAAAAAACAAGGAGACCTGGGAACTAGAATACAAGTTTTTGAAAATATAAGGGTACATGTTAGAAAGTAAAAGTTTCATCAAAATAAAGAGGAGCAAACTGAAGGATTGTTTAAAACTAGAAATGAACCCAAATTCAAATGGTTTAATTTTGTACCATCTCTCCCATTACTTTAAAATAACCAATGTTTTTCTTTGTTTCTGGCTGGAACCAGAAGCTTTGGGGGGGGAGAGGAGGGAAAAACCTATTTAGGAACAGACTTCAAAGTGAAGTTTTCAGACATGGTTGCTTACCTCACTGAAGTCAGTACGAGCAGTGGGGTCTGAACACATCATTGGAGGAAACAGACCATTTTAGGCTCCAGTGCTGCTTTGTAATCCACACAGCTGTGCAGCTGCACCTGCAGGGAATCCCATTGATTGAGGCCAGTGAAGCTTGGGCACCGCAACAGTCTTGCCTCATCAATCATACTGCAGGATCAGGGCCTTGATTAGTTGCCTGAATGTTGATTTAGGTGCTTCAGTTTATTTTAGTCTACTGATTCTAATTAAGTTCTTATTCCCATTACCTGTAAACTTCACTTTATATCAGAACTAGTCATATGTCCACATCATCAAGGAAGAAAACAGGGACCATAAATTAGGAGACCAGCTGTGCTAGTTCAGTCCCTTGTATTACATATTCACCACTATTTGATATGAAAAATAAACATTACTAAACTCCTAACAGAGAGCTTTTCTACTTAGACATACTTCAAGGGACTGGGAAAGTCTATAGTATTCAAATGAATTGAGTTTTTATACCACTGTATCAGGGGTATTTGGCTTATTTTGTGCAATAGAATGTGTAAGTGTTCTGTACTTGTAATAGTGCGTTGTGTTCTGGGCACTTCTACCTCTGAAAGTGGTAGGCAAACTGGAAGGAATTGTTGCTGACTGCTAGTTCTTGGCTCAGTACAAAGGCAGACATTTTCCCTCCCCCAGAGTATTTCAGATCTAAGTTAGATGCAGACACAATACAAGTTCAGACAGAAGAGCAACAAAAGTCATTGAGAAGCCGGAGGCAAAGAGCTAAATGTTGTGCATAAGACATGGCAAGCAAGATGAACACAAATAATAATGATTTGGGTTGAGCTTGCTCTGGTCTTAAGCTGCTAAAACCTGAAAGCACAATTTGGCTATAGGCTTACTAATTACTGAATTATGTAACCAGGTTGCCATAGACCATTCAGTAAAACTGTTCTTTCCAAACTCAACAAGTAGATTTCTTCCACCTATCTTCACTATGCAGCCTAAAAACCATCTCAGAGGAAATGAAAGGGGATCCAGCAGTGCCCCAGATACCACCTTTCGACCAAGTCTTGAGTAGAAATCCTTTTGTTCCCTGTCCATCTATCTTTTGGCATCTTTCTTGTCAGGATAACAAGAATTCACACTTTTATCTGGTGTCCATTTCTCCATCCACCAGTTCTTTCTCAATTTAGGACTCATTAGACTTTGGCCTCTTTGGCCATGTCCAGATGAGCAGGGGCGCATGCTTGCAATGGCACAAATAGTAGTGGTGCCAATTTGTGCTGCTACGTTGTGCTGCAGCACATGACCCTGCACATGCATTTTGTTGCAGGACACATTGTCCCATAGTTGGCAAATTGCCCATGATCAGCTCTTCCTGGCTCCCAGCATACTGCTCTGACCAGCCTCCATGTGCTGCAGTAGGGGCACGCTGAGTTACAGGGTACCACAGCGCAGAGCTAGCCAGCAGGCAGCCCCCACACTGAGGCACCCTGCACCCCAACCATCCAGGGAATAGCACATGGAGGCAGGGGAGCAGCCAGCCTAGGTCTGCCTGCTCCTCCATCCTGCACTCCGTGGCTGGCCGGGACACAGTGTGCTTCAGTGTGAGGGTGAGTGGTGGGGAGGACACACAGGGTCTCCACATTTGACCTGGAGCATGCTATTTTGGCATGCTTGGCGCTGCTTTTTTTTTTTTTACAGGGTTTATTTTTGCTACCAGGATTTTCTGATAGCAAATTTTGCCCCTGCACTACACATTAGCAGCGCTCTGAATGGTTTAACGTGGAACACATGCATTTTGTGGTGCCAGGCTTGTCATTTCCCCTGCCTTACAGGAAGGGAGATGTAGAAGGGCCCAACTTGAATCTCTCTGCTAAGATTCAGCCAAGAAACCCAATATAAAGCAGCAGACAATCATTTCTTCTTACCCCTTAACATATTCCAGGCTTGCTCGCATATAACGCAATACATGTTTTTTCTCCAGGTAAAAACAACAAAGAAGCGTTACTAATATGCTGTGAGCCTAGGGCTATATTAGGCAGTTTAAAAACAAGGCAAAAACAAATATAGCTTTATTGGAATGCATATTAATTTACCATACATTTTGTATTAAAAACAGAACAAATTAAACAAAAATAAAGCAAATATATTGTTTCATTAGTTCTGTAATCATTAGAATGTACATCTCCCTCAAATTCATAAAACATAATCAAGCTTTCTTGAGCATCTTGATAGTGCATCTAATATTTCACTGAAACCTATTTCCACACCTGAGTTTGTGCTTTTAGCTAGAGTTAAAGTAGGCTGCAGGGCTGTGAAATAGGAGCTATATTACTAGGAGGAACTAAGAGACAGCAGAATTGCAGAGGAAAGAATAGCTTGATTACTGGAACATTAACACTATTGAAAAGGAGAGAGGGTCACTAACAGTTAAGACATGAAGAGTTTTGAAGGAATCGGGTAGATTATAATAAATCATGAAGTCAAGTGACTTTTTCACTGCTGATAGCATAAAAATGCTGCAGTCACTACCAGACAGTTTGTTTCAAACTTTGGGTGGACCAGGAATCAAAGGGTGGTTCAACTACACCACTGCATCTCCCCTGGATTTGCCCCCAGCCCGTGCTCTGAATTACAACTGCATATTATTATTACATTGACTTAGTCAAAGGGGCTAGGGACAGATATTCAAAAGGCCAGAGCCTGAATTGATTCAGCCTTTGGAGGTTAGTTTAACTTGTCTAGGTTGAACTGATTTGTAACAGCACAGGCATTCCCTCTGGACTGAGTCAATGAGTGCACATGCCTGCAGTTGCTCAGGCCAATAGCCAGGGTGTGCTAGAGCAGGCCCTCACCTTCAGGGAAGCTGTGCTGAAGGGGCATGACCGGTCTGGGCTGAACTGGCCAGAGAAGGGGTTGAATTCCCCCCTCCCTGTCCCACTGGCAGGGACCCGGCCCAGGTCTGCTGGGCACTCCCCCCTCACTGCTGCAGTGGCAGGCTGGCTTGGCCCCTGAGGCAGAAGGGGAAGAGAGGGGGGTTATTTTCCACTCTACCCCCACTGCTCCCAGGGGACCGCAGCTGGGTCTGCCTGCCCCAATTGCCATCGCCACTGGGCAGTGGAAGAAGATCCCTCCTAGTCCAGAAGCTGGAGGGAGGGGGAATAACTCCCATCCCTGCCCCGCACAAGGGGCCCTGCTGGCTGGCATCTGGCCATGCCTCCATCCCATCACTGCAGCAGGAGGGGGCAGGGCCCTTGATGGGGGGCAGCAGATCCTGTCATAGTGTCAGGGAGTGTGAGCTGCTTTCTGGAGGAGGCACTGTGCTACGGGGCCAGCAGAGCTGTGGTAGACTGTGCGTGGCAGCACCAGGGCCCAGAGGGGGCCAGAGCCCTCCAAGACCACCCCCCACCCCCAGTGCCATGGTCAGTAGCAGCTTTCCTGGCCTGCAGTGTGCCCCCCCTGACCCTGCCTCCAGGAAGAGGCTCGTGCTCTGGAAAACTGTAAAAGGGGCTGCTGTCCCTGTCACAGTCACTCCCCCTTCACTGCTCCAGTGGTTGGATTGGGGTGGGGATGGGGGCAGACACTGCTGGCAGGGCCCCTTCGGGGGGTGGCAGGAGCTGGGTTCATTCCCCGCTCTGCACCTCGGGTACCTCAGTAGGGTCTGCCTAGCCCATTCGCTGCTGCTGTTTGGTCTGTACTCCAGAAAAGCAGCAGGATAAGCCCCTGGAGGGAGTGGGGAAAGGAGGGGGCAAAAGGGGCTTATCCCATCCCTTGCCCTGGCACACAGCGAGCGGCAGCAGCAGCCAGGCTGGGCAGATCCCACTGCACTGCCCCAGGGACAGAGTGGGGAATAACCCTGCTCCCTACCCTGCACAAGAGGCTCTGCCGGAGGCAACTAGCTTCACCCCGACCCCCACCTGGCTGCTGGAACAGTGAGGGGGCAGGGACCATGATGGGGGCAGGAGCCCCGTCACAGTTTCCCAGAGCATGAACATCTTCCTGGTGGGGAGGACCATGCTGCAAGGGTGGGGAAAGCTGATACTGACCACGAGGCTGGGGAGAGAGGGGGGCAGTCTTGCAAGACTCTGGCCCCCTCCAGGCCCTGGTGCTGCCACGCTCAGTCTACCACAGCTCTGCCTGAACCATCTTCCCTTCAGTTTCCCAAATGCACATCCTATTGCCAGCTACTCTATATAAGCAGCTCTTTTTTTATAAACTGAGGCTGTTGGACTGCTGGAGGAAGGGATGGAAGGGAAAGGGAGGTTAATTAGAGCACTTTTTCTAGCAAAGATGTTTCTGTTTGTGATTTCTACAATCTGCATCTCCCTGTCCTTTTTCTATCATCTCTGCTTGTTTTCTTCCCTAGTCATGGAGAATCCTTTCTCTAACAGTACTATGGTTTCCTCTCTCCTTATTTTGCTCAGATCCAAGACACTCCCTCTGCTCCTGACTCACTTAGCTACACTTCCTTGTGATTTCTATAGGTTAGCCAAGCATTTCCTCCTCTGTTCTTCTCTTCTTATGACTCAAAGTTATCAGATGTTGAGTGGTTGATAAGGGCAGTGTCCTTGAAAGGACTGGTCTGAAAAAAGTGCAGATCCTGTGCAGAGAAAGAAAAATAGCAATGTTCTCTTTTCCTCAATTTGGAGACATGGTCATTATCATAGCCTTTTCCCTGTATTATGGGTCATGGAGATGGCTGGTAATTTTTTAACTTGCTTCCACTGCATCTTGTCATGATGATGTTATTAACCCTCTCAGTATTTCAAGACTATTTGGGGAGTGATTGGCTGATTCTTGTAGATTGTGAAAATAATAGTGGTTTTTTATATGCCACAGTTCAGGGAAGGGGGTAGCAGGCAAGGTTTTTAGAAACCTTGGATCTAGTTTTGGAAAGGAGGGCATGGGAGGCTCAGGTTAGTGATTGTAGTTGCATACTGAGGGCAATGCTTTCACTGGAGGAAAGGATAGAGCTGATCTCTGTGACCAGGAAGCAAAAAAAGTGCAGGTTTAGAAAGGCTAAAGGAAACCCAGTAAGACATGCCTTGATGTTACTCATAAGAAAAGTCCTGTCTGACATT